AATCTATAACACAAATTTCTTATTCACGATGAAAATTTTTTTCTTTATTTCTAATAGTGATAATTCAATTTCTTATTGATTATAATTGATCTATGTACTTCTTATTTATCCCATCATAAATGGGAAACTAGATGAGGATATCCACATATGGAAGTCCATGCTTTATGAGGTGTGTTACTGTGTTATGCCTAATACTTGGTCTCATGTGTGCATGTTGGCACATTGGCATATTCTTGATTTGTGAACCACTACTACAAAGTAGTAATTGAGGTGAAAAATCCACTCTAGAATTGTGACTTTTTTCAGATGTGACTATAAGCTTTCACCTTAGAATCTCTTCAAAAAGATCATAGAGAATATTATTATTATTATTCTTATTATACCAATTAAAGTGTCAATATGTGGAGCATGGCTTACAGCCATTATTTGCAATTATTACTTGATGCTAAATATCATATTATTATCTTGAGTTAATTATTTATTTATTTGGTTGGTGCATTATTAGGCTTTTAGCTTCGCAACTTGTGGCTTCAAATGGAGGATTACAGATTTTTTTTTCGTGTCATTATTGGCGCTCGATCTCAGATAAAATTGTTGGATCAAATTCATCAAAGACACCATTTTAGAACTAGTGTTTTTTTGGCATCACTATAAATAAAGGAATGGTTAGAAAACATATGTATAACGGAAGCATTTAAGAAATATATTACGTATATAAAAAATAAATAATATATATGTAATATGTTTATGCTAAAATACATATGATTATACTGGAATACATAATTTTTTAACTTTTTCGGTTGATGCATTCAACATTATCTCAGGCTTTTAGCTTTTGTAACTTGTGACTCGATCTAAACGAAGAGTTACCTTTTATTTTTAACTTTTATTTAAGATAAGAAAATCAATGGAGTCATATAACTACTTTTTCATGCTAGAAGTCTCAAATTTAAATTTTAAATATTTGATAGAAATTACTTTGTCCTCTGTAATAGAATCAATCTTTTATACAAATTCAGATTAAAGAAGTCTCAAAATAAACATTATTAAAAATTGGATAAAAACAATTGAGTTATTTGGTATTTTCTTTGTCTCATATTAGATGAACATTTTCTATTTTATTAGATAATTTAAAAATCATAAATAAATTGATTAATTTTACTATTTTGCTATATTTATTTATACAATCTATAGAATCACACTTATTGCTACAGTCTACAGGCTTTGGATGTTAAAGAATCATAAGTTTTCAAATAAAAAGGCGACAAGAGGCTTATGTCGTGAAGAAGATTTATCCGGGCTAGCTAGTTAGTTCTCCTTTTTATTTATATGTTAGCTCAAGAAATAGTCGATAAGAGACTAATTCCCGAACTGGGCATGTCCAATTGAGGAACAAGCATATTTTTTTCTCCCTTGAGCCGTAAAGAACTACTTTTGATAATAAAATGAGGATATTTATCAAAAAAAAAAAAATTAATCTCTTGAAAAAAGAAATTTTTGAGTCTTCAAAGTTTGTTTAAATTTCCAAATGTCATATTAATTGTAGGGGTAAAATAGAAAATTTTGATTAATTCTAAACAAATATTTTAGTAAGATGTTCATCTAATATGGGATGGAGGGAATACTTATTACTAATGAAAGATAGCAAATATCTCTTATAATTAGTCGAGTAGGGCAAAAACTAACCCAAACATCACAATCATAATAAAAAAGAGAAAAAATTACTTAAATACACAACTTATTTTACCATATTCTCTAAAATTTCCTACCATTTAAAAATATTACAAAGAACACTACACTCTCCTATTCTCGAATACATCAGTTTAGTGGACGTTCTCCGACAACTTTCTTCATGTGGCGTGACACGTCTATCTTTGACACTCATCAATCAGCTAAAAAACGACAGTTGCGAAGCCAGTGGTGAAGTAGCGCTTGCTAAGGGAAGAGAGCTCTCACCTTGACGGGAGGATTAACAGGACAAAGATCCGCTACTCCGTTGTAACCACTTTTGTACCTGTACCGGCTTGAGCAACCGAAATATTGATACTGGGAGATCGGGGATCAGCTGAAACACTCGAAGATGCACATTTGGGGATTCGACGATAAAGATCGGACAACGATCTCACTTTCCTCCTCATATTCGGAAAGATTTATGTTAATTCGCTCTGCTCGCAGAGCGGTATAAGCTGCTCCGTTGTAGCCACTTCTGTACCTGTACCGGCTTGAGCAGCCGAAATATTGATACTGGGAGATTGGGGATCGGCTGAAACACTCGAAGATGCACATTTGGGGATTCGACGATAAAGATCGGACAACGATCTCACTTTTCTCCTCATATTGGGAAAGATTTATGTTAATTCACTCTACTCACATTGCGGTATACTAAAAAAAGAAGCGACTATCTTACTTAAGTAATTATCAGATCGATCTTTGAAGGACAAGATCTTTTTTTATGGTTGACATTAATAGTCGGTAGGATATATCACTTTACGAGATGTATCAGAACGTACACGATGTATTGAAACATTGAGTGATAGATCCGAAAGCGAAACTTGATATATCGAGACATTAAAGGATGTATCCGAAATTGGAACGCGATGTATCGAAATATTTGAAGATGTATTCAGATTCCATCAAATTTAAGTGATTTTTGTAATTTAAAATAGTATATAATTATTTCTTAAACGCTAAGATTTGCTTAAAATTCTCAAAAAAAATTGGCATATACTGTAACTACAAAAACTTTAATGATTACAACATTAGATAAATTAATCCCTCTTTTTTTCTTTCTTCGATGAAAGTAACTTACCGACCACATAATAACTCTACCTTTTCACTTTTATTGCTACTTGTTCACCATTTTAACTTACCGACAACAACAAAACAAAATATTTCATTTTTTATTTGTCATTTTTGACATTTTTTTTTTTAAAAAAAGAAGAGATTATCTCTTTACCCTTGATATTTATTTCCCAAATCACGAGACCTAAAACTATAGATTAATTAGAATATAAATATTATAATAAAATACTTATATTTATTATGGATTAAAAAAGATTCAATTCATTCCTTTTTTTTTTCGAAAGGGACCTATGTTGGTTTGGGTCCCTAGAATCAGGATTGACTTATTTTAAGTATTTTAAAGTCAAACTTTAAGCATATTTGGAATATTTAGACAAATAAAAAAAGCTTATATAAGCATTTAGTTTTAAGCTAAAATAATAAATAACTAGCTTATAATTTTTTACTTATAAATTAAAGGTCAAAAATTAATCCAAACAGACTCTAAGAGCTTGTTTGACATTGTTGTTGGAAGGCTAAAAATACTTGTTTGAGAAAAAAATATTATTTTCTTAAAAAAATCAACGCGTTTGACTAATAGTAAAATCGGTTTTAAACGAAAGCAGAAGCATCTTTTCTGTTGTTGAGAAGAAGCTAAAAATCTATGTTTTTCTTTTAAAGCAGAAGCAGAAAATTATTTATTTCAAGACTAAAATATCCTTGCCATATATATACATATTTACCAGTATATCTTTTATATTTATTTATTTTTGTGGTAAATTTTTCATATGTAATGATTTAATTTGTGGAAACATTTAAATTTATTTTACTTGATATTTCTAATTATATTTAAATCATCATGTTAATTTTATATAAATATTTTTTATTCATTTATTATAATATTAATTGAAAATTTGAATATTACAATTTAATTAAAAGTTTTATAATAGATATTTAAAATAACTTATCTTTTTTTTAAAATTTTTTTTATCTTTATTTAACAATCTTAATATTAAAAATGCATTAATACTTGTCTTTTTTTTTTTTGTAATTTAACTCTCAAAGGTATTTTTTTTTTAAAAATTAGCCAAACACAATCTACTTTTCAAAAACACTTTTTAAGAAAAGCTAATTATTTTAAATTTTTCGAAACACTTTTTTGAAAAGCGATTTTAAAAAGTGTTTCTAAAAATATGTTCGATATTCATGTCAGACCGTTGACTCATCTCTTCACTCATGAAATTGAGTAAAATCACAGGTGAAGAGATAAGTCGATTTCAGTTCATTATGTTCGATAATCATGCCAGACCGTTCAAGGCCAAAACTCAATGTAAATAGATTGATTCTTCGATGAATTGGATCGCAGCATAAAATATCAAGTCTTGTGTATAAAGTATACTTTTCAAAGAAAGGGGTTCGATTGTACTCTTGATTAAGAAAGAAAGGTTTGTTATAAATATGCAATATCAAATCGAATATAAGCAAATAAATTAAAAAAACACATCAATTATCATATTATCAAAATAACGATATTAAGAAAATTGATTTCAATATAATATTTGATATATATCGTATCATATCTATCGTGTGCTAGCCAGTGGAAACCCAAATGACATGCTCACACATACCAAAAAAAGAAGAAGAAGAAAAAGACAAATTAAGGGACAAATTGATTACGACAATTGACCAATGATCTCTCACATGAGCCATAATCTTTGATTACTCCATAATTATGACGAATGTTGACTGAATTCTACACCTTTTTAATTAAATAATTAATCACCGAATCCGATTACTTTGATCTGTTTCTTTCGTTTTTATCGCACTAATAATGTAATAATCGTTTTGTATCACCTATTTATGATTAAGATAATTCATTAATTACCTAATCAAACAAAAAATAAAACGTCTTCAAATCACTCCTATTTAATTGCTCCTTATCAAGGTAAAATCTTAACGGTACAGAATCATCAAACAAGATTGAGTGCTTAGGTATCTTTTATTTTATTTTTATATACTATATATAAGTGGAGTATTATTTTTGTAACCTCACCACCTTTATTATGAACCAATAAAAATTCTTTGACATAACTCACAACACATCCTTTTTTTGTCTCTTTAGATAGACAGCATAATTTGGTCCACCACTTCGCAATTTACATAAATAGCAAAACACTACACACATAATATTTATTATAAGAATTTGCAACCATGAAGGAAGGGATACTTCATAATGATATAGCATAAGATACATTCTTGTATGTTTTTTCAAAAAGAAAAGAACCCCTTCACTCTCAAGAAACTTCCCACCGACGACTCCTCTATATTCCTATTTATAAAACAAAAAACCATAGTCTTTCCTTTTCAAACATATATATTTTGGCTCATCCGTTTTATCTGCTATCTTTCATTAGTACATATATAAAAATTAGGTTCAATTTGCACGCATCGATCTTTCCATTGTTTTATATGCTATCGTTCACTGGTCAGTAGAACTATATGGTAACTTTGTTCATCTGAGTGATAATCATATCTCCGAGGATCCTAATTTGCATATGTAATAAATTAGCTAGGTTCAATTTGTGCCTATCCATCTTTTGATTGTTTTATTTGTTATTTCATTTGTATAAATATCTGGTACCTTTGATCATCGTAAACATAGGCATATACATCTCCAAGAATCCTAATTTGTATTAGGTTCAATTTGCAAGCTATCTCTTGGTTTGTTTTGTTTGCTACCTCTCACGAGTCACGGATACACATATATTTGATAACTCTGTTCATCCAAGTAATATCGATCCATATATATCTCCAAGAATCCATATTTCTTTACTAAAATTAGGTTGTTGAGATGGGGAATTGTGTGTTCAAGGGTTTTGGTTTTGGTGAAGTTGATGTCGAAGAAGAAGAAAACAACAAGATGCTGATAAAAGTGGTGACTTGTAATGGTGGCATCATGGAGTTACATGCACCCATCACAGCCCATTGCATCACTAATGAATTCCCAGGACATGCCATTTATCATAGCCATGACATGTTCTCTCCACCACTTTTTCCTAATGAGGAACTTCATGCTGGTGAATCATACCATCTCCTTCCTCTACTAAACCATCCTATTATTAAATCCAAAAGAGGTCAAAAAGAAGAAAAATGCGATGTTGATGATGTTACTACTTGTGATAGTAGTAGAAGCAATTTACCTCAACCAACACCTTATAGGATGTCATTTGATAATCAAAGGATGCTAAAGAGATCAGAAGCTGAGGTTTTTCCTACCTACAATAGTACAGGTAAATTGAACACCCTTTATTGGAAAATAATGTATGTGTATTTATATGTTAACTATGAACTAAGTTTAATTGTTTGGAGTGCCAAATAATACTTTTTAGTCATCTTAAACTTTTCAATATGTTTTTAAATCATCAGCTATGTTGACTTGTACTACTTTCCGCACGTGTAGATTAATGATTACAATTTTTTAGAGAACTTATACTCGACTTCATAATCAAAGTTAAGTATCTTGATTAATGATTCTCTTATTTAAAATACCTTTTACATAAATTGAGACAAAGGAATTTTATATAGATGTATATAAATGATCCGTCCTATAATTATGTAAAAGTATTAGTACTATTTAGAGAGTCAAATAATTTTTCCTTACTATAATTTTCTAAAAATACTTTAAATCATCGGCTAAGTTGACTTGTATTATTCGGGTAATTTTCAAATATGTATATTTTATTTTAAATTTTTGAAGAATCTATATTCAAATACATAGTCAAAATTAACTATTTTGATTTTTGTACTTTAAACTTTTTCACATAAATTAAAATAGAAACAGTACTATAAGTCATATATTAAAGTTTAAATACTTAACGAAATTTTTGACTTTACTATGCAGGTGTGTGGAAAGTGAAGTTACTTATTAGCCCTGAACAATTGTCAGAAATTTTGTCACATGAGGCACGTACAGAGGCACTAATAGAGAGTGTTAGGACAGTGGCCAAATGTGGTTCTGGTGCTTCTTCTATGGCTACTGCTCACTCAGACAAATGGAGTTATTCTAACACTAATAATAATAATTGGAAGGCAGCCACTCCTATCTGACCACTCTTCATGTTTGAGTTATAGTGTTATTTCCGGGGATTCGAGTTCCGTCGAGTACATAGTCGTCTTTATTAAAATAGGTTTTAATTTCAATGTTGAATTTTTCAACGTAAATTTAAATTTAGTCAGACATCAATATAAATATCGAACATCAAATCAAATGAGAAATAAAAAAATGTTATTTTCTTTGCTAATAAAGTTATATGTTCTTGTGAGAATTCTATGGTAATATTCATATTAGTTGATGTTTAGTTTTAGGTCTTAAAAAATGATTGAGAGAATAAACATTTAATGTTAAAGGTAAGAAATATATTTTTCTTTTAATATGTTAAAAATAATAAATAAGAGTGAAAATATATTCTTAATATAATGATCAAATAAAAATAAACGGATAAAATACCATACTAACTAGCCAGGTTTAGAAAACATCACAAGGGGTTGCAAGTACCTTCTCATGCTCATGAGATTGATCAATATGGCTCAAAAATATATTCGGGCCCAAATCCATTTTAAAAGTTCGATGTAGAAAAAAAAAAGAATTCAACACGAACAAACAAATGGCATAAAATAACCAAATTTCCTAATCCTGACAAGCTCAAATTCTTTTTAAACCGCCCCAAATTTTAGATATTATCTTTTTTCAATATTTTGAATCTTTGATATATTATTTACTTAAAATAATTCACTGTTTCAATATCAACCAGCTCAAACCTCCTCTAAACAATCCTAAATTTTAGATATTAGCTTCTCTTGATAGTTTGAGTTTTTTTTTTTATATATATTTATTCACTCGTAACGATTCACATATTTTTAGCAGGTTGAATTTTAAAAAATGAGCTTTGAAATTCTTCAATGACGGATTTAAATGGACATCAACTTTTTTTTTTGGTTTCCCACCCGGTGTTCGGAGCCCACATTGGAACTCGAACTAAATCCGGATCGCGCTCTGCAGGGCCCATTCGGTGGTGGCGCTCCCAACTGGATTTTCTCCATACCCAGGGCTCGAACCCGAGACCTCTGGTTAAGGGTGAAGCACTCTTACCAGTACACCACAACCCATGTTGGTATGGACATCAACTTAAATCTTCCTTTAAACAACTCGAATTTTAAATATTAGTTTCTCTCAATATTTAATTTTTTTGATATATTATTAATTATTTAAAACGATTCACATTTACGACAAATTCAATTCACAATTTGTAATATAGCCCAAGGTGAATCTGGCTTGAATTAAAAAAAAACAAGCACGTCAAAATTCTCTCATTGATGACTCTCTTTCTAATTGGTGTTTAGTTAAGTTTAGAGGTGATAAAATGGTTAAAATTTATGGTTATTCAAAAGTGGGTTGAATATGAATTAATCTATTCATCTCAAATATGAATAAATTTTGGGTATCCATCAAGTGCACTCCCCTTAAAGTATATCAGGGTGTAGGAACCTCTAAAAAATTACACTTATTAATGTTGTACTTGGTATAAAGTAAAAATTGTTTTACAAAATTTTTATGTTTAATTGACTTAATATTTTGGCGAATATTTTTCAAACACTTATTTTCTACTAATTTAAAAAAGATGATTTCCCTTACATAAAGTAAGAAAAATATTTTTCAAAAACTCTCTTTCAAGCTTACTACCTCAAAACAAATCTAGACCTCAGAATTGACTCCCAAACTCAACCCTAGACCCGACTCACGACCATGACCCCCACCCGACACGGGACCCATATCTCAACCTTGACCCTGGACTCAACTCCCAACTTGGGACCTAACTCCCTATCCCGACCTTGAACGCAGGACTCAACACCCGACTCTTGAACTCAACCTGGACCAGACTCTCGACCCCGGTCTGGGACTCGACTCCCCACCACAAGACCTGTAACTCAATCTCGATCCAACTCCTGATTCCGAACTCAATTTTTGATATCCCGACTCGAGCTCTGACTCCCAATTGACAGGAATCCTGATCCTGACCCTGACCCAAGTTAAAATTAGAAAAGTAAATAAAAAATATGTTGTCACTATCAGTGTAACTCAAGTGAGATGGTAGAGTATATATGATGGTAGATCATAGATGTGAAACTCTGTTGCTTAGTAATTAGTATTCTTCAATTCAATCATCAAAGTTTAGGTATGTCTTAAAGAAGACGTTGGTCCTAGACTCCTAGTAATTAAGAGACAATTCTCTATTTTTGTCTCGAGTGATTGCATATGGATGAAAAATGTGTTAGAAATTCCAAACATTTAACGCTAAAAGTCAAATTGACAATGAATGGGACAATGATCTTCGAAATTTGGCCATAGCAAAAAGAATCTTGTACCATACCTTTAAAGACAAGTTATTTATTTAATTGTTCCATAAAAAATAATTATATCTGCTAGTTATACATATAAAATTTACATATTATTACATATAAAATATGCATATATTGTGTATATTATAGATTAATATATAATTGTTGTTATTTTGATGGGCAAATATATAGTATACAAATCTCATTATTCACGTTTGTGACACTTCAATGCACTTTTGGGTCACAGAATAATTAAATTGTAATATACATATAAGAAATTTTTATCCTATAATATATTTTAACTTATAGTATTCTGTCTTATTTTTTAGATTAATTAATCTCTTTTCTTTGGACGGGTTACTGATATGGGACGCAGGGAGTATAGTTCTAGTTTCTAAGAATTTTTTAAGAGGTGAATTAGTAAAATTATCTTCTTATTTATGATTTCTTAATATGCGTATAAAAAGGAAAGTGATTAATAACTAATATGAGATGGAGGGAATACAGTTCTAGTTTCCAAAGAGAATTGATCTCAATTGAATCCCTTTAGCTTTGCCATTGACTAAAAATGTATAAAGGTTAATTAATCTCTTCCGTGAGCTTTGGTTTTGTTTTTCACTTGCATGAAATAGAGAAGATTAGACCAAATTAATGTAGGAAAGAAACCTAGCAAAAAACTTGCTATTTTCACATAACTAATGATAACATCCCAAGTATTGGAAGTTGGAAAACACTTCTTTTATCAAGAATGAATTTAAAGGCAATTGATTATTTGGACCTACATAACTCCCCTTACCAAAACATGCATTTTACCAAGAAGATAATGTTTAGCCAAAAATTGAAATGTCTACACTTTGATCTCTTTTGTTACTTCCCCGTCCCATATTAGTTGATCATTATACTAAAAATAGTTGTTTTATATTAATTGTCGGCCTTACTAAATAAAGAACATATACTCCCTCTGTCCCTAATTACTTGTCCACTTTTTCTTTTATAGTTGTCCCAAATTACTTGTCCATTTTGACAAATCAAGAAAGGACAAATTCTTTTTACCTATTATACCCTCAATTAAATGACTAATTATTTTGAAAAATGTAGAACTTTTCATCCACTTCATAATTAATAGGGATAAAATGGTAAACTCACTATGTCATTAATTATTTCTTAATAGATGTGTTAATTTAAAAGTGAACAAGTAATTAGGGACAGAGGGAGTATTACCTTTGCAATTAATTCTTTTTGAAAATGTTTACATTTATTTGTAAAATTCCCATGAAGCTTTTAAGGGGTAAATTAGTAAAATTATCTTCTTATTTATGATTTTTTAAGCATCGTACAAAATAAAAAGTGATCAATTAATATGGAACGGAGAGAATATCGAGCAAAACCATAAACTTCTTGTAATGGATTCAACATAACTAACTAGAAAAGTTGTTTGGTACTTCTTATTTGGGAAAAAAAGAACCTGAAGAAGAAAGAGGAATAAAGTTGCTTCAAAATGTTGTAGTGCTACTAATATAAATGACATTTTTCTACGCAATTTATACTTCTTCTTTAGTCCGCAATTTTCAATAAATTAGATGTGTGTGTTGATAAATGATAATATGTCATTGTTACATGTAACGTGATGTATCTTATCTGGTTGTATAAACTTCTCAAGGTATAAAGTTCTAAAATAAACTTATGTCTTATAGGACATAACTTATGCCTAGCGAGCTGTTTTTTATGTCTTGAAAGTTTTTTTGTTTTTTAATATTAGGGGTATTTTTTGCATTTTAATTATTTAAAGTGTTGATTGACACCCAATTTTGATCTTCCTATATCTACTTGGGTTGCTAGGGTGCGACAGTGTTGAAGGGAACAAATTTGAGGGGCAAAAAATAAAGACTACCTCAAAATAGGAGCATTCCTACTATGACTTGCTGATTATGTCACCCCTAACGTCAGACTAGGGCAAATTTTGATGAAGTAATTACATTTTAAAATTTGAGAATTCATAAATTTCAAATTGGTTCTCGGCCTACCTAGTCCAGTGGCGTAGCTACAGCCACCCCAGGCAGGGTCGGCTCTTGCCTTTGTAAAACAAGGCTTATGCCTTAGGCCCCCAAATTATTATCAAGAATAAGTTGTGTTAAATTTTTATAGAAAAAAATGATTAATTATGATAAAAAATATATTATTTACCCACTTTAACATCTTTTATACTTTGTTAAAAATAAGAATTAATAGTGAAAAGTGTTGAACAAAGTGAATTACAAATTTATTTTTTATTTCTTTTTAAATTTTAGTTTCAAACATTACAACAAGCATATTAAAATAGTGTATACCAAGTCATCAACTTCTTAAATCAAATTATATGGTTCTAACTCTTATCTTTATTTATTAATTGCCAACTTATTACTTATAAAATTATGTTAACAATTCATATAATAATTATCTCACTGAAAGGATGTTTTTCAATGTTGAGTCGATAAAAATCTTACCTAAAATCAATAACTGAAAAACAATATTAAATACTAATAATTTTCATCTAAATAGTGTAAGAAAAATAAATTTTGAATAAATATGTATACGAAGTTTGTTTATATTTTAGGCCTCAAATTGAAATTTCGCTTTAGGCCCCCAATTACGTTGAGCCGCCTCTGACCCCACGGTATCCAATTGGACACCCTTCGTCGAAAAATTATGTTGTATATACATGTCAAATTCTATATTTAAAGAATATATATTTAAAGTTAGACACACTTGACAAAAGTTATGTCTTTGGTGCAGTGGTAATAGGTGTCCATTTGAATGAAGGAGTTCTAGGTTCAAACTCTAAATAGTATAATATTTTTTTGTTTTATTTTGACAGTCACAC